CCAGGGCCTGCCCGAGGGGCGCGGCCGCCATCTTGGCGGGCGGGCCGGGGCGAGGCCGCGGCGCGGGGACACCTGCTGGGCAGTGCGGGCGCTCCCGCCGCTCCCGGTGCCGAGCTCCGTGAGGGAGCAGCGCCGGGTCCGTGAGGGAGCACCTCCTCCGACCCCCGCTACACCCCTGCCCCTCGATCCCCACCGGCCTGGGGGCGCTTTGGTTGCCCTTGGTTAAGCGACACCCCCCACGCGGAGCTGGGTTTCACAGAATCACAGAATAGACCAGGTTGGAAAAGACCTCCGAGATCATCAAGTCCAACCCCTGATCCAACCCCGCCGTGGTTACCAGACCGTGGCAGTGATGCCACATCCAGTCTCATTTTATACACCTCCAGGGACGGTGACTCCACCCCTTCCCTGGGCAGCCCATTCCAATGTCCGAGTACTCTCTCTGTAAAAATTTTTTCCTAATATCCAACCTAAACCTCCCCTGGCACAGCTTTAGACCGAGCCCTCTTGTCCTACTGCTGATTCCTGGGAGAAGAGACCGACGCCCACCTGGCTCCCCCCTCCTGTCAGGGAGTTGCAGAGAGTGAGGAGGTCTCCCCTGAGCCTCCTCTTCTCCAGGATAAACAGCCCCAGCTCCCTCAGCCTCTCCTCACAGGACCTGTGCTCCAGTCCCTTCCCCAGCCTTGTTGCTCTCCTCTGGACCTGCTCCAGCCCCTCCATGTCCTTCCTGAGCTGAGGGCCCAGAACTGGACACAGCACTCCAGGGGTGGCCTCGCCAGCGCTGAGTCCAGGGGCAGAATCACTTCCCTGGTCCTGCTGCCACACTGTTCCCGACCCAGGCCAGGATCCATTGGCCCTCTTGGCCACCTGGGCACACTGCTGGCTCATGCTCAGCTTCCTGTCAATCCCAACTCCCAGGTCCCTTTCTGTAGGTTTGTAGACAAATCCAAGCACACCAAGGTATCTGCCTGACTTTTTACCCTCTTGGTTGCACTCCTTCAGTCTGTAATTTCCTGTTTGCTTCTAAAGTTATTTTTACTAACGGGGGGGAAAAAAATAAAAATCAAACGTTTATAACAGTGCTGTCTGTTCTCCAGCAGGATAAAGCGAAGATCGGAGTGAGCCTGGCAGGGGTCATGGATTAACTCCCCGGCAGCAGCCTGTCCCACTGCTCGCTCCACAGCTCTTCCGTCCCGGCACGCGTGGGTCGTGCTCCTTCACTGCCTTCTGCTCCCTGCCAGCCCACACCATGACATGGGAAAACATAATACTTATTGACCTTCATAGTTGGGTTTTGTTTGTTTGTTTGTTTTCATTGTCCTGGGGTACCTTTCTGAAGCTTTTGTCAGCTTCTCTGTAAGTAGAAGAGGGTAGGGAGGTCTACTGGTAATATTTGTATCTACATGCACATATGTGGTAGACAAGAGGATATTCTGGCTCTGGGAGATGGGGCTTTCTAAGAGAGCAGGCGGGATCCAAGCGTCCAGGAGAAATCTGGAGGGGGTGACCCTTGCACAAGTGATGCTCACGTGGTCCCAGCACCATGAGGAGGGCTCTCAGGGCACCTCTGAGCCCACAATTCATCCAGCTCCCTGTGAGAGTCTCAAAGCCCCAGAACTGCCGGGGAGCCACACAGTGAGGCCCCAGGTGTGTTCACAGCCAGAAGCTGACTTCCCCCCAGCCAGCCAAGGAGCCAAAGCAAAGCTTTAACTGGCTCTCCAACTTCAACAGCGTGGGCTTAGCTGGGCTCCAAGAGGCAAAGCTTGTGAGCCAGCAGGGATTGCCCCGCATGGCTGCAAGAGAGGAGAGCACAGATACAGCAGAGCTGCTGCAGAGTCTGGGCTGTGCTGGTACCCCATGGCCTTTCCAAGCCCTTCTTCACGGACTTCCCACAAGGTTGGGGTGACCTGTGGTCTGATGTAGACCAGACCAACTGGGCTGGTGGCCACCTCCCCAGAGTGCCCTCAGCACCCTCCCTCCCTCCCTCTCCAACTAACCCACCAAAGGTTTCATTTACCTTCAGGACGGCCTGGCTGTGTGGCCACAGATGGCAGGAAAAGATGAGGTGAGAGGAGCCCAGGTGGCTTCTTCAGGGATCTTTGCCTTCCTGGTGGCTGTGAGGAACAGCTCTGGCTGGCTGCAGGGGTGATCACAACTCTTGGATCTGCAGTGCTCGTAAAATCAAAGCCCCCACCACGTTTCCATCCATCCTGGCTGTTCTGCTGGAGTCCCCAGGAGCAGCTGCTTGGTCACACACTCCTCCAGGGATTCCCCCAGTTTGCTCTTCCACGGGAAATCAGGGAAGTCTGAACCATGAAGGGAGGGAGGTGTGATCACCCCACCCAGCTCCTGCTGACCCGAAGACCTCAGTGATCTCGTCTGTCCTCAGCCAGTCCACACTGCAGCCTGTTCCCCAGCACAGCCGGGGTGTGGGGGAAGCCTCCTGGCCAGCCCTGCAGCCCGGCGAGTGGCACAGCCGCTGGAGAGGGTCCCCAGCTCTGCGGCGAGCCCGGGGACACTCAGTGCCGGCACACGTCGAGCAGAGCCGGGGGAGCCGAGGGGCTGGCTCCGCACACGCCCGAGGGGTGCAGCGCGGAGCACAAAGGCTCTCCCATCCTGGCCGCGCTGCCCTGGAACGCAGCATGGGAACCACTGCCCAGCGCAAATCTGTTCCTCATTATCCTCCCCGGCTGCCAACTGATCCCAGCTCCGTCACCAGCCGCTCGCTGCACAGCCCCGGCCAGCTCGCATCCCGTCAGGAGGGCAACTTCTGCACGGCTTCGCCAGCCCGTGCAGCGGGGCAGACCCGCGCCAGGGCTGGCATCCCCCCTCCAGAGGTAGTACTGGAATGGAAACGAATTGTTCGCTCCACCAACAGGCAGAGACGAACAGGCTTTCCACTGAAAGCAGGGACGGCTGCTTCACGTGCAAGGAGCAGGAAGGCAAATGCAGGAGAATTCAGAAGAGGGATTAGTCTGATCATGTCCAGTGAGATGGATACCTGCATACATGGACAGGAGCAGGAAGGAGCAAGGAACAGACTGATGTGTCTCCAAAATATATACACCAAATATATACATATATATATGTATACATATATTTGTATGTATGTAAGTCAGAGGAAAACAGCTTTAGGAAGACAAGGCAGAGGGGAGCTACCTACAGGGGGACACACAGAAACCCAGCTCTTCTCAGACACACACATGGAAGAATAAGAGGGAATAGGAAGAACCTGCCCTAGGGGAAATGTTTGCTGGGCATAAGGAGAAATTAATTCTGTGCAAGACCTGTGCAGCCATGGTGTGGCTCTGGGACACAGACAGTTGACACCTTCAATGAGAACATTCCAAATCCAGTGGGATAGTGCTCTGAGCTACCTGCTCCAGCTTTACCATCAGCCCTGCATGGAGCTGGGGTTGGACTGGAGTCCTCCCAAGCCCCTTCCAGCCTAAAATTTATGTGATGCTCCAACTTGCATTGTGCAACAGCAAGGTGGTGATTTTAAGACTCACTTGGAAGGCACCCAACACCAATCCATTGCCCACAGCTCTTCCATCCAACTGATGCCAGAGCTGCCTTACATCCCCTGCTGACTTCACAAGTTTTGGTACCACAGGGAAAGTGGAGGAGCTGAGTATTGGAGAAAGTAAATCCCTGTGGAAAAAATGTACAGGTTTAATGGCAGGCTTTAAATAGAAGCCTGCGTGCAAAATGACGGGTCTGTGATAGTCAGCTCTGGGATGGGGTTTACTTACAGTAACAGTCAGAAGATTGGATGTTCTGGGTTACAGTGACAAGCAGCTCCTCTGGTTGTGCCTTACTCTGTCCCGGAGAAGCAGAGGTTTGGGCACATGTGTTCGTGGTTTGGCCCGTTCCTTGTGTTTTTCCACTGAAGCACTTTAGTATTTTTAGGCTGAAAGAGGCTGCTCTGTGCTGTGCTAGAAGGATCAGAGCAGTCCTGTGCAGGCAGGACGCTGCAAAGTGAAATACAGAGCGTGGAGTACAAGAATTAAACCTGACAAAACCCTGTGGGGAAGGGTGTAGTAGGAGCCACCACCCCTGCTCACAACAGGAGGTGGGGTCGAGGGTGGGAAGAAGGGGCTCCAAGCTGCTGCCTGGTGCCCTGTAAAAAGCCTGCACACACATTGGCTTCTAGGCTCAGATATCCGTGGGAGACATATCAGATATCCATATCCATCAGCATTTCCCGAAGCTGAGGTGTCTACTTTCCCTCCTCTGAGGAACCTGAAGGCTGCAGACCCACCACTTCCAGGAAACAACCTGGTGCACTGCCAAAGTAATCGTGTCTGCAGGAGATGCTGGCACTGAGGCCCAGCACACAGAGCACAGCTCAGCCAGCACTGCCGTCGGTGGGATGCAAGGCAGGTGGGGAATGTCAGGAGGAGCAAGAGCTTCCACAGGGGCCAGCACAAAGCTCCCAGGGCTAGGAGCTGTATTCCACCCTGCTAAAAAGGACCTGGGGGTGATGGTAGATACCAGGTTCAATACAAGCCAAACATCCACCTTGTGAATCAAGTAAACCACACTTACTCTCCTTCAGGTAAAGCGGAATCAGGACATCAAGGGAAGAGCAAAACCAGCACACTCCAACGCAGGGAGGCTCCTGTGATCCAGAATACCCTGAAACAGACCCCTTTGAAGCACATTTTTGGCAAGGAGAGAGGTGGCAGGGCCATGGAAAGAGGTGGGCTCCCAGCACGCTGCTGCTGTGCCGCAGCCACGGCTCGGGGCACAAGGGCTGGCTGCTCCCTCTGCACGGCCTGATGATGGCTGCAGGCAAGCACCTCTCTGGAAAGAATTTCACATTTTCCACAAACATTATGGAAACCAGGAAATCCATTTAGGCACATCAGGGCTGGGGGGGGGTGGGGCTGGGGCCTCAAGTGGAAAAGAATGGAAAGGCACAGGAGACACAGTGGAGGAGAATAGAACCAGGATGGGCAGAGGTTCCCAGACAGCAGAGAGACCAGACTGCAATGTCTGCTCCAACTCGTTTATTGAACATTACAAAATACTCTGCATATATTTTCACATTATAACAATATTCTTGCAAATAAGATATTAAGTCTTGAGTCATTTGTGGTGCCCGTGGCTACAGAAAACACTGACCCAGCTAGAGATTTAGTATGGCCCAATATCAGAAATCAAAACCAGAATAAGTCATACCTGAAATGCAAAACTATATAAAAACCTTTTAAAAACCTCATGCTCATCTGGTGGGACTGCCAAAGGGTCTCTGCCGAGCCCTGTCAGCAGTGCCAGGGGTCCCACCAGCTCACTTGCCCCACATCGGGCTCACCCACCCAGTGTCCCCTTGGTACCTGCTGTCTCAGCACACCCACAGAGCTGGAACAGGCAGCTTTTACCCAAGTAAAAGTCCAAGTCTCCATTTTTCCCTAAGAGGAGCATCCCCAACCCCCCTGCACTGCCAGTGCCCAGCCATTGTGCTCTTTTGTGTGCTGAGCAGTTCTTGGGGAGCAGTTCTTGATCCTTGGGGTCGCACCAGGAATAATGCACTGCGTGGACCATTGCCACCAGGTCCCACCACCCTCTCAGGAGGGAGCAGGGGTGGCTGGGAGGCAGGTGGTGGGGACAGACTTTTGAAGGTGCACTCAGCTCACACCCATCACCCCTGTTCCTTATATACATTCATACCTGCTGCTGCCTCCACTCCTTGCACCATGGCCAGCCCTCCCAGATGATGGGCCCCAGGCAACTGGAGGGACTGGGACGTGGGCAGGATGAATGCCAAGGATGCTGTGCAGGGCAGCTGCCTCCTATCAAAGCCAGAAAGCTGAACACCACAGGTGTTGGGAACACATCCAGGCAACAGGCGTGAGGCTGGCACAGCAGGTTGGCTGCCAGAGGAGTCCCTGTGCGTACAGGTTCACTAGTCCAGCTCCTGGTGGAGCCAAACTCCAGGAGCGCTGCTCCCAGTCCTGAGAAGGTCGTGGCCTTGCCTCTGTGGTGCCTCCACAACTGGAGGAACACAGAGTTGCCATGGCAAGGAGCCCATCTCTGGGCGCCTGGCTGAGCTCCACGCACGCTGTGAGGAACCAGCACTGTGGCCACCTCGAAATCAAAGGCTCGGCCACTGGGTGTGGATGGGCTCTCATGCACCGGCCACCACTCCCAGTCCTGTCCCCAGAGGTGTCCTACTCACAGCCAGGCTGAAGATCAGCTCATACTCCTACACCTGTGAGCAGCCACAGCCCATTAGCCAGCACCCCCACACCTCAGGCCAGCGCAGCCACGACAGAATCGAGTCTGGTTGGGATCCCAGCCCTGGGAGGAACATCTCTATCCTCCTGGCTGCTGAGATGTGTAGGGACCAGAGAGGAAGAATAAGGTTTGGGGTCTGTGCCTCCCTGGGTGGACAGGGCTGGTACCTGCTGTCGCAGCACAAAGCCAAGTTATCGACCAGGTTTGCATCAGCAGGTGCATGAGCAAAGCCTGCCCTGGAGTGCAGCTCCAGGAGGAGTACTGGCTTCTCCTGCCACTCCTGGAGTTTATGGAGACACACACAAGCTTTACAACGCAAGACAGCGGAGCAGTCAGCAGGTCACAGCCTGTCTGCAGCCCCCAGCCCCTTCCCCATCCACAGGGTGCCTCAGAGGTGGCTCGCTCTGTGGAACATCAGCCGCCTGGGCTCCACGGTGGGTGGCATCCTGCCCTGCTCCTCCGTGGCCATCAAAGGCTGCAGCTCCTGCTGCTCAGGGCCGTCTGGGCTGCTGTCACTCTGTGACCGGCCGCTCCTGGAGATGTGGCTGGGGAACTGGAAGCAGGAGCTCTGCTCTGGTGTCACGTGGCTTGCAGACTGGGGTTGCTCCTCCAGCACAGGGCAGACGAATCTCCTGTGCTGAGGTCCGCTCTCAGTGCCTGGTGGGGAAGCGATGCTCTCCAGGGAGGAGATGCTTTGGTTCCAAGCCTTCTGCATATCCACTGGCACGATTTTGGTGGTCTCCGAGGAGACATAAACAGCCAGATCAGCCTGGTCTCCTTTCCATGGCAGCTCCTTCTCTGCCAAGGTGGGTGATGGTGGGATGATGCAGGGGCTGGGGCAGACGTCCAGGCTGCCTGTGGATGCAGAAAGAGGGACAGTGAGAAGGAGCTTGCACAGTTCTCAGTCTGTCCTTGGACCCTGCAAACATTGCTGAGCCACCCACTACCAAATGGCCATAGAATCTTAGAATATCCTGAGTTGGGAGGGGGAGTCCAACTCCTGGCCTTTTGCAGGATAACTCCAAGAATCACGCCCTGTGCTGGCCCAGGGATGCAGGAAACACGAGGGAGGCTCTGCCATGCCTCCAGAGGACAGTGATTCTCCCATTCATGCTCTGCTGATTTTGGTTTTGCCCAGGCCAAGGCAAATTTGCTGCACAGGTGGAGGAAGGACAAGCTATCCAATGGCAGCTGCCCTGGGGTGGGGCCTCGGTGCCTACCAGGAGTTGTCTTTCCCTGCAAGACCTCGTCGGTGGCTCGAGCGACAAACACGATCCCTTCATCATCCTCTCTCTCCGTCTCCGAGCTATCGCTCTCCTCCTCCTCTGAGCTGACCATCACCAGGACAGGAGCTGCAGCCAGACAGAGGGAGTTGTTTTGGAGGATGGGGCACCCTGTGGGGGAAGGCCTGCATCCATGGGAGAAGGATTTGGTGCCAGTGCAACCCTGGGCGCTGTTGTGCCACCGAGCTGGCAGTGGGCAGGCACAGCGGGTGCTCCCATCCCATCCCTCCAGGTCCCCCTGCCAGGACCTGCCAGCCTCACCTGCCACTGGCCTCACCTGCCTCCTGCCAGGGGATGTTTCTCTGCGTCTTCCCATTGGGCGTCTCTTTGGTCAGAGAGATGCTCTTCTGTGAGGGAAGAGGGACTGGTTGGGATTGGCCCTGTGCAAACCCCAACAGGTGGCCCTGCAATCCAGGGTGACCCTGGCCATGCAGATTCCCACCCTGGCTACATGGCAGGTGGCAGTCAGTGGTTCCTAGTCTTTATGTTTGCATCCCCATGGCCCTACAACAAACTGCTCAGCTGCAATGGCTTCAAAAGCCTCCAAACGAGAGAAGACACCCAAGGCTCAATTTAATATGCAGTGTCACACTTCTGAGACTGGATCTGCACCAACATTCTGGATGCTTTATGCTGAGTGCTCTTGGAAAAAAAACCTGGCTTCTCCAGGGCTTAAGACCACTTTGCTCAGGGAAGAGCCACCCCACAGCAGTGCTGGTGTGGTGGGGACACATGGACACGTGACACCTGCATGATCACACGCAGAACTGAGGTGAAGTGAGCTGCTTTCACTGCTGGCTGTGGAGCTGCCAGTGCCCTACAGCACCTCACCTACACCCCAAAGGACCTCTCTGACTGCATCTGGGGGGAAGCCAAATCTCAGAGCTAGGAAAAGAGCAGGAATTTGGGGAGCACTTGCCTTTTTCCTGCCCTTTTCCTTCAGCCTGGCCTTGCTCTTGGAGGAGCAGACATTGTGCTTTGTGGACTTGAAGGTCTCCAGACGCCTCTTCATGTTCTGCCGGAAGATTTCTTTATCTTGGCGCTCTTGTTTATCTGGAGAGATGAAGTGACGGCTGTAGCTGGCCTTGTACTGGCCGAGGGAGAGGCAAAGAGACACAGGGTGAGCAGCTGGCTCCGCAGAGCATCCTCCATCCCTGCTCCTCCTGCGGGCGCTGCTCCCCGCGGGCTCAGCCCGGCCCGGCAGTGCTCACCCGCCGGCGGGGCTTGTAGAGGCTCCCTCGCAGCACGTGGTGCATGGCAGCGTCCTCCTTGTCCCGGCGGCTCCGCACCGTGTCGATCACCTGCAGGTCCAGGCACGCGCCGCTCCCGCTCTCCCTCCTGCAGGCACATGGAGGTGGAGGGACTGGACTCGATGCCCACACTGTGCCAGCCCCCTGCCAGCCCCAGCACAACCCACCCCCAGGGAAGAGGGCGGCTGTGAGGTCCAGCGAGGTCCGCCCAGGGGCTCAGAGGGATGCCCGTACTCACAGGAGGTTTGTGACCGACGACTCCGACATGGACGTGCGGCTGGGCATGGAGGGCAGCGCCAGCTTGGCAGCTGAGAGCACGTGGCCACCCTGGGAGGGGAGGGCAAGGCTGGCATTGGGGCAGCAAGGACCCAGCTGGGCTGGGGGTTCCCCACTGCCTGGCCGGAGGGTTCACATATGACCATACGTGGGGGAGACCTCTCCTGTCAGGGCCATCCTGCCGCCTGGCCCCCACCACGCGCCCCTACCTGATCAGCGAAGCTGATGGCATCACGGATGTTCAGCTTGTAGTAAACATCCCAGATCTCGTCCCGCAGCCTGTAGGCAGATTTCCGCATCAGGAGCTGGCTCAGGTACTTCTTGTCGAACTGTTCCCACCTGTCACGAGATGAAGACACAGGCGCTTCAGCTCCCACCGCGCAGCATGGCCAGAGACACCTGCCTGTGCAAGGATGAGTGTCCAAATCGTGGCAAAGGGAGGCTGGGCACACGGGACCTGGCTGAGCACAGGGACACACTGCCAGGGAAGGCAGGAGGGGAGGGGACAGGCTGACCCTTCATCCCTGCCCAAGGGGAAGCCAGAGACCAGCAGGTCTGTGGGAGGCAGTGGGAGTGGGACTGGGGCCGGTGTGGCAGCCCTGTTGGAGACTTCCCCTCCAGGAAACAGGCTTTTTGCATCCTTTTCCTGTCGCCGTGCTGCAGATAAACACTGCCCGGGCAGGAACAGGGCTGTTCCCTCCTCAGTGCCCAGCACAGCTCCATCCACGAGGAGGCACAGGGCCATTGCCACCCACATGGACACCCCACGGCCCCCCAGCAGCTTCAGCCTTGACAATCAATCCCAGCTCCACACCATTCCCAACAGCACCTCCCTGACCTCTCTCTGGGATGCCTTTGGGACTTTGATCTGCTGCACAACAGCAGCCAGATGGTACCTATCCAGACTGATGGACAGACATACAGCCTTCCTGGTCCTGCTGCCCTGCCTACAGCAGGGGTGTCCTCCTGTGGGGACCCTGTGATATCCCCGCGGCTGGCACGTGTCCTTCACCCAGCTGATGGCTGGCACTGGATCCTGGCTAAGACACTCACTTGTCCCGCCAGTAGTGGTAGCCGTGGTGCCCCACGATGTCCTCCACTGCTGCCAGGATGTGGTCAAAGGCCTTGAGTGAAGGGAGGAGGGTGAGAGTGGTGGCAAGGCTGGGGGTGCCCCGGGGATGCCGAGGCCATGCGTGGCCCTCACCCAGCCCTGCCGGCGTGGGGAGCTGGGCAGCCTCTGGCACTTGCACCTACGTGCTCGTGCAGCTCCTCATTCAGCGTGGGCTTGTGGTGGTCACTGCGCTTCACCTTCAGCCACGTCACCAGGGGCTTGATGGTGAGGCCCTAGAATGGCAGGAGAAGGCAAGGGAAAGACTGGGAGGGCGAGAGGGTGCATGGCTGGGGCACGGGGAGCAGAAGCAGCATGAAGTGACCAGGGACAGTGGCTGTACCAGCCACGTGTGCCCCTACCAGCCCGACCCCCTGTGCCATGTCATAAGCTCCCAGCCCCCTTCCCCCCCTCCCTGTGACTCCCCTTGCTGCAGGAACCCCAGAGCCAAAGCCCATCAGCAGATTTGTAAAGAGAACAGCTTGGCCAGGCACACACCATCACTGCCCTTGGAGCCAGTCCCAGAACAAGAGGCCAGTGGGGAAAAAACATGGGCCATGCCTCCACCATCACAACAGTTGCCACAGTGGTCCTGCACACCTGGTGATGGATGGGGTGCCAGAAGGCACCGAGGACCAAAGGTCACTTGAAAAGAGATGCTTTCCCCAAGCACATGTCCCCAGGCCAGCTCTGGGGCAAAAAAGCAGCACTGGAGGAGGGCACAGTGCCCATCCTCACCTGCACAATGACAGTGAAGAACACCACCACAATGGTTGTTGCCACAAAGTAGTCCTTGGCTTTCACCTTCTCCCTGTCCAGCAGGATGACCAGGGCGAAGGCCACGGCCCCACGAAGGCCACCATAGGACATGACCACCTGGTCGATCCTGTCCAGGGGGATGAGGCGGAAGCGGTTGAGCACGTGGGTCTGGAGGACAACACCTAGGGAAGAAGGAGAGCCTGGGATGCTGCAAGAACCCTGCCTGCACAAAATCCCAGCCAGGAGCCGTGGCTGGCCTTGTGCCCCAACCTTTTTTGGGGACTACCCCTTTTTGGGGGTAAGGTGCCACCGGCCAGACACACGGCAGGGCAGACTGACCCACAGCTCTGAAGAGCAGGATAAAGAACAGGGTGCCCAGCACCAGTGCTGTGTCCCATGCCCACTTGGAGGTGTCCACAGCCGAGATGCCCAGAAACATGAAGATGATGGTCTCTGAACTGCTGGCCAGTGTCTTCATAGTGTATTTGACCGTGGTGCGGGATTTCTGGGAGATATTGGCTTCCACGTACTTCTTGCAGCAGATTCCACAGAAGGTGACTCTGCAGAGGGGCAGAAGGAGCTGGCATGGCCCTACGGCAGGATGAGGAGCGGGTCTGCTCGCTGCCTCTTGCTGCTCAGCACTGCAGCCCCGACCCCCTGGATCCCCTTGGGGGGCACCCCAGTACTCACGCCAGGATGGAGGAGAGCGAGACCATCTCGGCGGCGAGGTACGCGACGTAGGCCAGGAGGAAGACGAAGAGCGGCTCGATGATGCGCACGCGCTTGGTGAACCGTGTGATCAGGGCCAGGAGGAAGGCGAAGAGCAGCCCCACGGCCGTGCCCCCCAGGCTCACCAGGAAGAAGGAGGCTGTTGGGAGGAGAAGACTCATCTGCAAGCGGGCCCAGCTCCTGTGGCCCACGGCCACACCACACCGGGCTGGCCTGTGTTCCCACCCGGGTCCCCACCAAGTATCTCATGGAGCATGGAATTTTGGATTTTGGGATGATCCCAAAGCATCCCCTGGAGCACTTCTGTTATGGAGACAGGCTGACAAAGTTGGATTGTTCAGCCTGGAGAAGAGAAGGCTCCAGGGAGATCTTAGAGTCTCTTCCAATATCTAAAGGGGCCACAGGAGAATTGGAGGACTTTTGACAAGGGCATGGAGTGACAGGACAAGGGGGAATGGCTTCAAACTGACAGAGGGCAGGATTAGATTGGATATCAGGAAGAAACTTTTCCCTGTGAGGGTGGGGAGGCCCTGGCACAGGTTTCCCAGAGAAGCTGTGGCTGCCCCTGGATCCCTGGAAGTGTCCAAGGCCAGGTTGGACAGGGCTTGGACAACCTGGGCTGGTGGGAGGTGTCCCTGCCCATGTCAGGGAGGTTGGAATGAAATGATCTTTAAGGTCCCTTCCAACTGAAACCATTCTGTGATTCTCTGCTGGTGACCATCATGTGTCCACTGGGATGGAGATGACAGACCTGGGTGCTCAGTGCCCACCCCACAGGACAGCAGCACCCATGCTTGCCCCTGTCCACTTCCACAATGGAGGAAGAGGCAGAGGGGCTGGCGTGGCACATACTCACCTACCCCCTTCACGTAGTCTGTGGCGTGGATGTGCGCTGGGCCCAGCTCCACAAAAGAGTTGAAGACCTTGTACAGCACCTGCAAGCAAGGCAAATCCTTTGAGGAATGCAGGATATCCTGCCTTGAGAAGAGCAGGATGGACCCTGTGGAAGAGGCATCTCCTGCCCCAAACCTGCCAGTTGACACAGTTCATCTCAGCAGGCAAAGTCCCCCAGGGCCAGGAGAGAGGAAAGACCAAGAGAGCATGGCAGGGGTCTGCCCAGAGCTTGGGGATGTCACCTGCACCCTCTGACCTGGGAGAGTCCAGTACCCTGCATGGCACTGGGCTCCACATTGGGGTCCCCCAAACTGCAACTCACCACAGTGACAGCATCATTCAGGAGAGACTCGCCAAACACGATGATGAAGAGGGTCTCATTCACATGGACCTCTTCAAAGACAGCCAGCACTGCCACAGGGTCCACAGCTGAGATGAGGCTGCCGAAGAGCAGGAAATCCATCAGCCCAGCTTCGACACCCGGATCTGACAGGACAGAAGGACCCAGGTGAGGCAAACCATCTGCCCCTGAGCCCCTCTCACCAGGCTGAAATGAGCCTGTCCCTCAGCTGATCCCAACTGCAGCATCTCAACTGGGAGTGCAGTGGGATGAACCCAGTGAGAGTATTCCCAGACCTCTGGGGTGCCCCCTGTAAAGTGGGGCTCAGCACATCCTTGCTGCAACAGGAGAGGAGCATGAGGGATGTCCCCCTTGGCACCCAGATGCATCTCTGCCCCTCTGGCAGGTACCACCAGAAGAGGGGTCCAGGCATCAAGCAGTTCCTCAGGTCTCAAGAGAGCTCAAAACACAGCCCAGGCCAGCCAGGGCCAGTGGCTCCAGCCAAGGACAGGGAGCACGGCGGCGAGCCAGCTACGCCAGCCAAGGTCAGCGACAAAAATAGCAAAGACATGAATCAGCCCAGTGCCAAGCAGGGCCCATTTGTCCTGCGAGCTTGACTGTCCTGCCAGAGCACCATTCCCAGGATGCCAGGACCCAGAGCACCACTCCCAGGATGCCAGGGCCCCGTTTGTGCTATGATTCCTAGGAATCCACAGCAGGGACAGGCAGTGGGCTATGAAATCGGGGTGCTTTGCACCTCCAACCTGTTGTCTGTGGGTGTGGTCCAAGCTGGGCAGCCCTGCACACCCACCCATGAGCCCGGCCCGGTGCAGCCCCCAGAGCGCTGTGCCGGTGGCAAAGGAGTTCCAGAGCGTGCCCACCACCGCGTAGGTGAGGATGGCACCGATGTTGTCGAAGAACAGCCGGCTGGGCATGAAGTAGCCCGAGTCTAGGACGATGGGGGGCAGAAGGAAGAGGAAGAACATGTTGGGCTCCAGCTGGTACTCAGCTTTCTTCGCCACGGCCAACACGATGCCCCCCAGGACCAGCCCCAGCAGGATGAGGAGGCAGCTCTCCGGGACAATGGATGTCACCTTCCTCGACAGGTGGAAAACTAGAAAGAAAAGAAGAATGAGAGCATCAGCCAAACAGGCACATGGACAGAGCATCCCAAATCCAGAGGCTCCACGGAAGGGTTGGGTGATGCATGATGGATGAGGGAAGGACAAGGGAGCACCTAAGGAAAGGCTGCTTCCTGGCCATGTGTGCACAGAAGACCTTCCAGCTGCCTCCCAGGTCAGGATTGCAGGTCCCTGATGCTTTGGGATCTCCCTCTCCTCCTCAGCCACTGCCTAATAAGCCAAGCAGCCAGGCACTTTGCTTTTCCTGGCCTCTGGTGTCTGCACTTACAGGATTAAAGCAGCCAGTGAGCACGTTCACAGTGTCACGAGCGCTGCTGGCTGCTGCTCGAGTGAAGAAATCCTGGTTCACCGGGACATGTTACCCCACTTGGAGACGAGGATGCTCAGCCCTGGTGACGGGGTGACCTTGTTTGCATCCGTCTCAGCAAGCAGCCAGAGCAGCCAGCAAACCACTGCAGCACAAGCCATGCCAGAGCACAACCTCCCTCAGCACCAGCTAACCTACCTGCATGCAAAAGCACAGGCACTCGAGAGCTGCAGCTTTAGAGATGCTTGGAATAATCATTTTATTCCGTGCGAGGTTGGGACCAAATCTTAAGCTACTGTGGAACAGGATGTATCCTGTGAAGCAAGCAGAGGATGCCCTGGTATCCATCCATCAGCAATGTGGCAGTGAGCCTGCAGCTCAGGCACAAGCCAGCAGGATGCCAGCACACGGGACTTGCTCCCCAGGGCCAGGGTGTTCTGTGAAATCCTGAATCAGTCCAGCTCCCAGGCGGGCAATCCCCAACCCTCTGGATTTCTCCTCCCTAGCACAGGGTGCTGTGTTTTTGCTGCCCCAAAAAGAGCACTGCTTGGGGAAAGGCTGTTGAGGGTCACAGCAGGTTTGCCCCCACATTGTTGAGTTCTGCCATCACTTGTGACATCCAGCCCAGCTCTGCAGCATGACTTGGCCATCAGAAGAAGAAATCTTCTCCTGGGGAGTGGGTTCCTCCAGGCACTTCCAGAGCTACCCCTGTCCTTGCACACTCAGCAGGTACAAGGGACGTCAGGGCAGGCTCTGAGCCATCACTTGGCTGCAAGCCCAGCCCTGCTGCCAACCCAAAACCCAGTCCCTAAAGCCCTTTAGCAGGATTAAAGGTGCCCATTCCTTGTGCCAAGTCATCCCTCCAGAGGAAAAGCTGTGTTGTGGTCATGCATCAACCCCAGGTCACTTGGCTGCTTCCTTCTTTTGGAAACCCCATGCACAGACCATAAGGTCTGCCTAGCCCAGGGTCCTGTCTCCAGTGACATAGACTTGGAGAGGAGCCCAGGAACAAGCAGTGCTTCATCAGTAGGTTTCCATGTTTCTCTATGCCCTTGTCATTCTCCTCTGAACCTGTCCCAGTGCTGCTCTATCCTTTCCGAGACAGGTCCCAGTGTCCCTGAGATGTTGACACCCCAGGAGCTGAGATCATAGCCTCCTGATGTTCTCCCTTTCTCCTTTCCTAAAACCTCTTGGGTGGTTTGCTTTCCTTCACCACGGCTGAGCTCTGAATTAGAGGAGATAATTTAATGTCAAAGATCTGGTTCCCAACTAGAGACAACACCTTTGAGCCCACCACTCGATGTGCAGGCTAAGGGCCACTTCTCCTCTCATTGAGGACCCCAAGAGGTTGCTCCTTGGCACAGTAAGCCCTATCCATGCCATCCTGGCAAGCCCTGGCACTGCTCCCCTGCCTTAACACACTGGAAACACTGCTGCAGTCAGCAAGGGCAGAGCAAGTGAGGGATGGTGTGACCTGCAGCTCCATCACCAACCACCTCCAGAGCAAAGAGCCTCTGCCATAACTCTGCCACTGAGCCTGGGACATCCCCCCTCAGCTCCAGCCACCTCCACTCACCGCCACAGGCTGCAACACAGCCCCCAAGGCCGTGGTGATACGGACACTGCAGCCCTCCAAGCAGACCCACAGCCTGGGGAAGGGCTGGCTGAGCTTCATCCAAGCCAAATTCCTGCTAAATGACCACACAAGCTGCTGCAGAGCCCCGTTCACCCCACACAAGCTGCCTTTGCCGGTGGATGAATGGTGCTCGCTCAGCGCCTGCAGCAGGCTCTGAAACCGCTTCCCGCCCACGGGAACAAAGCTCTGAAGTTTTCAAGAAGGGAACGAGGCGTCCAGCCCCTTTCTGCATGCTCAGGAACGTTGCCAAGCTCCCTGTTCCCTGCTTCAGCAACCCATCTGCATTCCCCATGCTGTGGGGGTATGTCCTGGCTGGCTGCAGAGACCCAGGAGAGCCTGCAGAGATGCTGTGGGGACAGGGGCCCTGGCTGTCATCCATCATGGAAGTGTCCAAGGCCAGGATGGACAGGGCTTTGAGCAAACAGGTCTAGTGGAAGGTGTCCCTGCCCATGGCAGGGAGTTGGACCGAGATGAACTTTAAGGTCCCTTCCAACCCAAACCATTCTTAGTTCTATGATTACTCCCTGCAAGCCAAAAACTTGGGCAAAGAAAAGAGCAGCATCACTGGGAAAGACCCTGCTTGTCCAAAATCCCCTGGCTGATGAGGAAAGCTGCCACCCTCCCAAGCAAACGGCAGCACACGAGCTCCCCTGAGTCGTAGGGAGCTGCCAGTGGGGACGGGCAGAACGAGCTCTAATTTTACACACACTAGTCAAGGATTTCAGCATTAAAGGTTCCCACAGCAACAGTAACTTAGCCACATGTGAATTAACTTCAGAGCCATAATCCATACTCAGGCATCCATAATACAGGATTTGCCATTGAGAGGAGTTGGGGCCAAAACCTGCTCTGCTCCTCTGGAGCTTGGGAAATGGCAAAACACCTAAACCAAGACAGGAGCAGCTGGGGACAGAGGTGATGGTGTGAGGAGAGAGGGTTGCAACCATGAGGATGCTGCTGAGTGGAAAAATATCTTGTCTGCTGGTGAACCCCTGCCCGTGGGAGAGCCATGGGTAAGGAGCACATCTGGGGCAATGCTCCTCACTTCTCTCTTCCCCACATCCTGTACTCTGACCAAGGACTGAAAAGGCAGTAAGGCCCAGATGATGCCTCACTGTGCAGGAAGGCAACACCCAAGCCAGTTTTTCCCCGCCCCATCTGTTTGCTGGCTCGGGGCACCCCAGCATCGTGACTGCCTCTGAGAACAGAGCCCACAGTGTCATTTCCCCATCACCCAGGCATGGGGCCACTTCCTCCCCTGCAATCACAGGGCTGTGAGCTGGCAGCCCAGCACCACAACCACAGCGGTTCCTCTGCGCCAGCCTATGCCCAGTGTCCACGGCCACCACAGCTGGCACTGCCCTCTCCGCTCCCCAAAATCCTCCACCCCTGGTTCATCTCCTCTGTGAGCTCCTGTGCACCCTGGGGACCGCACATGCCACCTCTGAGGACACTCATGCCCAGGCTCTGAGTGTCCATCAGACCCATTGGATACGTTAAGCCAAACAGCCCAAAGCTTCCAACCATCAGGGTTGTGTCTCCCAGATGGAGAGGGAGAGTGACCATCAGCTTTCCTCAGGCCTGGAAGAGTGTGGCAGGTCTCGGGGCTTG